ATGTAGTAGTTCATGGATGGTATGTGATCCATGGACAAGGAGATTATCGTCAGAAGAAAAATAGAACTTGAAGCCCGTAATACTTCACTGTGAGTCAGCAGATGAAGTTATCGAAAGTATTAAGGAGAGAAGAACTGGTAAGCAAGTAACTGCTGCCCATGAAAGCTACACTCTCCACTGGTAAGTGTATATAAATATATTTCAGGTTGTTTTACTCGGGAGCAGGTAATGGATATGCTTAGACAGAAAGGCGAAATGAAGGAACATTTAGAAAATGGATATGCCACTAGAATATGTTTCAGCAGTTAAAACCAAATACAACTGTACAGGAAATATCCAGAAGTTGTGTGCATTGATTCTACGTATAATAATAATAATAAAAATTGAATATGTTTATAGTTGTATTTTACTATGTAGATATTCCTTATTCCAGTTAGTGGTGACGGATAATTGCGGTCGAGGTCGAACTGTAATGTTGGCGTGGACTCGAAGGGAAAAACGTGCCGATGTGATATGGATTTTAGATCAGTTCAAAGAGATAATGGGTGACACAATGTTGACTGAAACATTTGTGATGGATTGCGCACGATGTGAAAGCGCGGCTGTCTGTACAACACACGGACATGCAAACATAATTTTGTGCGCCTTTCATGTAATTCGCGTTTTCCGGAAAAAGGTACACCAACGGTTACTTATATAAAATTGCCCTTAGACAAACGACAAAATAATGAAAACGTACTTAACTCGATTGGTAACTGCGGAGACGGTTAGAAGGTAATTTTTGTAATGTGTTTATTCACTAGATTTAATCAATATTACAGAATAATAAATCGGCGGGACAGATTGATAGGTCAGTACCTGTCACGTTTTTGGATGGCACGTAAGACAATGTGGGCGCGTGCCTTTTACGGTCATGTTTTAACATTGGGTAACAACACGAATAATCGTGTTGAATCGCTTAATAGGCAAATAAAACGATATGTACGAAAAGTGATAGTCTGTACAAATGTATGTACAAGGCTTTAAAATGGAGTGAAATGACGTCAACTAAAAGAAGTATCGAAGATCAAGTGATAGCCGGAAGATCTTATAAATATAATGCTCCACAGCGTCTTATACCCCTGCTAAACATTTTGACCCCATTCGCAAGATCTAAATTGTTATACGAACTTAAACAAATGCGTTTCGTCTACGTGGAATATGAAAGCGGCGACTGGTTGTTTATGGTTGACCGTGGACCACATTATGAAGTGGATATAAGCATTTGTCAATGCAATTGTAGCACGTTAATGATGTGTCGATATCCCTGTCGTCACATGCTACTTGCCTACGTTAAAAGACGAAATCTTACAGGTAAGCTATATCAATTATGAAATACTAACTGCATAGCTCATCAACTTCTTAGGTATTGTAGCAGATGGAAGTTATATAATACCCAGAACTTCCAAAATTATACATTAACTGCATTACCACGACGGAGTGAAGTGTATATAAGTATTCAACGAAGCCAAAGAATCCATAAGCATCGCATCATTGAGAAGTATGGTGAACGTTTCGCAACGGAAGTTGAGAAGAAAGTGGACAATTATTACTTAAGAATTCTTAATACCAGCTTGTAAACTTGATTTTCTGCTTTAGCAGCAATGATTATTCAATAAACTTTCATAATTATAATTTTCATCTTATTCCTACTTTCATGGGAATGAATAGCAATGATGTTCGTGTGTAACTGTTTGTAATAATTAAAAATGATTAACAAACCTAATCTGCAAGAATGTACGTGGATGTAGGGTTTCTTAATCAATCTTAATTATTACAAACAGTTACACATGAACATCATTGCTATTCATTCCCATAAAAGTAGTAATAAGATGAAAATTGAAATTATGAAAGTTTATTGAAGAATCATTGCTGCTAAAGCAGAAAATCAAGTTTACAAGTTGGTATTAAGAATTCTTAAGTAATAATTGTCCACTTTCTTCTCAACTTCCGTTGCGAAACGTTCACCATACTTCTCAATGATGCGATGCTTATGGATTCTTTGGCTTCGTTGAATACTTATATACACTTCACTCCGTCGTGGTAATGCAGTTAATGTATAATTTTGGAAGTTCTGGGTATTATATAACTTCCATCTGCTACAATACCTAAGAAGTTGATGAGCTATGCAGTTAGTATTTCATAATTGATATAGCTTACCTGTAAGATTTCGTCTTTTAACGTAGGCAAGTAGCATGTGACGACAGGGATATCGACACATCATTAACGTGCTACAATTGCATTGACAAATGCTTATATCCACTTCATAATGTGGTCCACGGTCAACCATAAACAACCAGTCGCCGCTTTCATATTCCACGTAGACGAAACGCATTTGTTTAAGTTCGTATAACAATTTAGATCTTGCGAATGGGGTCAAAATGTTTAGCAGGGGTATAAGACGCTGTGGAGCATTATATTTATAAGATCTTCCGGCTATCACTTGATCTCCGATACTTCTTTTAGTTGACGTCATTTCACTCCATTTTAAAGCCTTGTACATACATTTGTACAGACTATCACTTTTCGTACATATCGTTTTATTTGCCTATTAAGCGATTCAACACGATTATTCGTGTTGTTACCCAATGTTAAAACATGACCGTAAAAGGCACGCGCCCACATTGTCTTACGTGCCATCCAAAAACGTGACAGGTACTGACCTATCAATCTGTCCCGCCGATTTATTATTCTGTAATATTGATTAAATCTAGTGAATAAACACATTACAAAAATTACCTTCTAACCGTCTCCGCAGTTACCAATCGAGTTAAGTACGTTTTCATTATTTTGTCGTTTGTCTAAGGGCAATTTTATATAAGTAACCGTTGGTGTACCTTTTTCCGGAAAACGCGAATTACATGAAAGGCGCACAAAATTATGTTTGCATGTCCGTGTGTTGTACAGACAGCCGCGCTTTCACATCGTGCGCAATCCATCACAAATGTTTCAGTCAACATTGTGTCACCCATTATCTCTTTGAACTGATCTAACATCCATATCACATCGGCACGTTTTGCCCCCAAATGCCCTGGTACGGCCGAGAGTGGGGAGAGTCCGCTCTCCCTCTCGAAATACTCTCACACGGCCACGCGTATATAGCCTCTGCCAGGGAAGTCCTACTCACTGCCTTCTCGTGGCGAGGGTGTTGTTTACGAAAATGAGAGGACGAAAAGCGAATGTCCGGCGCTTTAACCAGATTCCAAACCAATTGGTGCACATGGGCTCCAGTATCCTGCGGGAACAAATGGCGAATGAACCAATTGTTGGTCACCGGCTTCCATGGGACTGCATCTCCTTACGATGCTCCACTGCCTTGTGGATCAGACCCTCAGGTCGAAGGCTCGGGAAGGAGGCTTGGGAAGGATTATCTATGACAGAATTTGACGGAGAATCGTGATGAGCAACCCATGCTTCTGCACGAGAGGTAAGAGTTATTTATTAACTTGATTGTAATGATTACCTTGCTGCGTTCCGTGTCATTACATATGAGCTGAATCAAAGATTATCAGCATACTTTACCAAGTCATAAAGCATTTGACTCCTGAGTCGTTTTTGCCTTTATTAATAGCCGTGATTTCCATAGATAATCGTGATCTTCGGTGTGCATACGTGTCGTTTTGTTTCTAACCATATGTGTGTCTGTTGCTCATTGGTTTCTCCACTGTCTCTCTGTTACATAACTTATGACATTTTTGAGCCACATTACCGTCTATAATGTGTACTGTAGGTGAAATGTCACGTTTACTTATTCCTCTTTGCTTCGGTTTTCTGGTTTCTCATCTTAATGTTTGTGTACATAAACACCTGTATGAAACAAACCAATCTAACTTTATCCGCGCTTGGCTGCTCATTATCGTCAATGCATAAACGTAGTTAGCCCATAGGTAGTACACGAAATAAAACTGATTATATTTGTCCACGGCGCATTATATTCGTTTCTCCGAACCACAGTCAGATTAACGATCAACTAAAATCATCCCGTTTTTTCCTTGCGAACCTTCTGTAATTCTGTTCGTGGACCTTAGATATGTATTCTTGCTACACTTCTTTGCACATGACCTAAGCATTGTTGGCTGGAGGATTGGACACTACTACTCGTGGTCAAGAGCAAACCAGAATCCATGGACCATAGGGTCTTTGATTGATATGGAATCAATAAATATATATTGTCGAATAAGCTATACATTTTCTTGATGAATAAACCTGAGGAACAACTGTATCTGTTCATCACAAGCACGTTTGCGCATGAGTTTGCATATATGTTTGTAAATCTCTCTCTCTCATATATATATATATATATATATATATATATATATATATATATATATATATATATATATATATATATATATATATATATATATATATATATATGGTATAACGATAAAAAATAGATTCCATGTGAAAATTTACAACACAAATAATGAGCGAAGATTTGTACGGAAGAAAAGAACACAGTTTGTCTTGTCTGCAATGACTTAAGAGGTTCGCTAACACCAGAAAATGCCGAAAACATCAGAAACTCCTTCAAGGCTACTCACGTGCAACTGACCACAAGCAATTCAAAATTTCTAAGCATTTAAGTCATTATGTTTGAACAAGAAGTGCGCAACTATCCAAATTATATCAAGGTGGCAGCAAACGGTTACTATTTAGCCTGGATTACTCAAATGCAGACGACAGGCCATTTCATTTGGTTAGTATCTGTATGGAACATGTAGGGACTAGTCATATAAATGTTTTGACATGTGTTTGACCCTATTTACTATTCTAATGTAACACATTACAAAGTATTTATCTTTCGCTGAATTGATTTTATGCGCTTCTCCATTTTCAATCACATTTGAGACATAAATAACTAGCCACCGATGCAAAACTGTTTAGCGAAGTCTGAAAAAAGAGCTGAGGTGAGTAAAAATCACATATTTTAACAAAAGATATAAAAGTTCATAAACAACTCAGGTGTTTGTTGTATTCGTCACAGATTTAGACCAGGAAGGCACAGTATTTAACCCGAATATCGGCATCGTGTAACTTGATACAGCTGCAACAGCAGCTAAACCACCCACTATGTTCAATGGGATCCCGGCCAATAACTATAAAAATGAAAAGTATGGAACACATTCAGACAAACAATCCACGAAATCTCTCATCATCTGGCAAAACAGACGAAATGTTTGGTGGAACCAAACATCACATGTAATCAACTTTACTAGTTGATCAGTTGTGCCAATTGAATATCTGGATTAACTCCACTCTCGTTCGCAATTTTGATCTCGCATTCGACAGTCAATCAAAAGGAAGTGGGAATTGCTATTTACACTCTCATAATGCATGAGGGAGTGCATTGTCTTTCATTTTTGTTGGCTTAGATAAAAGATGTAAAGTTTTCTACGACGAAAATGCCACACTGCTACGCTACAAACGTGTCAAGTGTAGCTCAGTCAGTCGTGATGTAAGAAAAATTACAACATGAATAAAGGTACGCCTCCGAATAATTCCATAATACAAGCTATTTCTGGATATCTACAGCTGAGTGACGAAATAAAAGAAAAAATCACAATTACTGATTACCACACACTTAGATGACGTGATAACGTAGTGTACACTACGTAAACGTGGATGGTGATCCAAAGAAAAGGTGAGCTAAAACTACCTAATACATATGTTAACTTTGTATATTGTTTAATACTACTTAATAAAATTCAGTAGTCAGTTGTATTCCCAATAACAAATTCACTTTGGGGATTTCCCCAAAATTCACAGGATGTTAATTATCATTGTATTTATCACTATAATCACTGTACTTTAATTACCGTAACAGTTTATTACTTTTTGATCAATACTCAAAGTGATATAACTTGTCTCTTGTATGTTTCCCTTTCAGCTGGCTTCGCAGGCTTTATCAGACGTAACTGTAAGTTCTTTGTTCGCATTATTAAGAACATTGTTCTACTGTTGGTACATCATCAACCTTTCACATATCTTGACACGTTATTATACACTAAAAATGATTTATTTATTTTTTAGAACATCAATGACAGTTCTACGTCTACGTAAGATGTTGCTGTTACAACGCAATGAAAAACTGCATAAACGAATCATTTGTAATTTTACTAACTGTAATAAACATTTATATATGTTATAAATCAGTCTTTTGATAATCGCGATAAATCGGTTAACATTAAGTTTCATTGGCAATGCGCGATTGACGAAAATTAATAAAACATCCTAGTAAGAAATGTACGTAAGCATTCTCCCTAGGTATTCCGTGATGTCAATAGGTTTTCGTAAAGCTTTTGCGTTAAAACAGTCTTCATGGAAAACCCAAAGGTTTGGGGAAGCTTCCCCACAGTGATATCACTTTTATCTTGTCCGTTTCCCTTTCACATGGCTTCACAGGCCGTAACCGTTGCTTATTATTTCTTTCGTATATTATTTTATACTACTTACTAAAATTCAGTAGTCAGTTGTATTCCCAAAAGCTTCAGTTCCCCAAAATTTACACAAAATTTTCCCAGACGTTGGGGAAATTTAGGGTTTTTCGTCTCATTTCCCCAAAATTTACTGTAGAGGCTTCCCCAAAATGAACCAGATTTTCCCCAAAGTTGGCAACTTGGGGTTTATCCCCAGCCGAAGATCCGCGTAAAGTGACTTAACTCTAAATCCCTAGCTTAGTTACAAAACTACTTACAACTGCCTGAAAATCTTGATGTTTTTTGAAGAACAGCACATTGAATCGAATTCGTTTGTGGAAGTTTAATCAAAGTTTAGAATTGTCTATATGGTATCGTAACTCATATTAGAATTTCAGAAATAAACTAAACAAGTAGAAAGTCATCAATGTTTAAAGTTCAATAATGATTTTAATATCGAAAAGCTAAACATACCATGTGTTTAACCCGAACTCTTCCTTTGGCAAAAACAATGGTGTTAGGAGGTGTAGCAGCAGGAAGTGCGAATGAATAGGAAGTTGCAACAGTTACAGGGAGCGCTAACAAAAAGGGATGGATCGCAAGTCCCTCGCACTGCAATAAATAATTTTTTTGTATTGGAAAAACTAATTGTCAAGATATCGATAAAACATACACGAGTTGTGAAAAAATGAACGAAGACTGTTGAAAACTACAGATCATCTGGTCCACCTGTTCTGCAGTTTGAGCAGTCTGACAATTAGTTAAAAAAGATAGCCTAGAACATTGCTCTTTAAAAATTAAAATACTCACATGCTGTAGTTCGTAATGTGGACAATGAATTATTTTTAATTTTCCGTAAAATACTAAATTCAGTGTGATAAAATACTATATATCGCCTAGAATGTTTCGAAATATAGTTTTAAATAAACCTTTTAAGTATATTTCAGAATAAACCTTCAATTTTGGAATTTATAACTGCTCATCAGGACAAAAAGCCATTTCTATATGATATGACAGTCATTTGAGTTAAAATGTGACGAGACAGATCCTAATCTTTAACAGGTTAATGTCATGATCACAACTGCGATTACACATAATACTCGTTATGCATTGATATTTTACATGGTCAAACGTGGACAAAAAATGTATCGCATTGAGCAACTCGATGCAAAACTAAAAGCAAATTCCCCTTTCTCGTGAAATTTAGTGGTGTATTGAGTAACCTTCTTCTAAAAGTTAAAAAGTGATCTGTTTTGCATTTATTACATTCAGTGTTGGTCAGCATAATGTTCGAGGTTGGATGTTTTGTTGCATTAGCAACCGATTATTATTATTAATGGCTTTATTCAATATTATATTTTGGTACAATATAGAACCCTCAGCACAGGGTATTTTAACAAGTTACTTGCGCAGAGAAACAGTAACAAATACAAAAATGGAAAAAAAGGTTAAAATAACCGAAGAAACTGTACAATTTTTCAAATTAGAGACATGTTAAGAACGCAGGTTATTGACTAGGTTAACTCTAACAACCTGTTCGTCACAAGGTATATTTGCTAGGCAAGATATTATAGAACTTTTGCTTGCGTGCATGGATTTTTATGTAATTACGTCCCGTTCTACCAGAAGATAGACAAGTAGAAGGATATGAGTGAAGGGGATCGTTAGTATCTGATAAAATAACACCTTCCAGGAGTTTGCATGACTTTAAATGTCTATCCACAACCATATTAATTATGACCTCGAAAGGTTCACCACACATCTTGCTAACTGCCTTCAGAACTCTCCACAATACAGCAAAGTCTTTTCTTAAAAGCCCGGGAAAGAATAATGGAAAACAGTAAAGACTAATAGATGATATGCAAGAATTGACAAATTGTAAGAGTAAACGACGAGTAATCCCAAGAGCATGCGATCTCTTTATGTAGTAAGTCAGACGGAAAACCTTCTTCGATAACAATAAAACGTGGGAAGACCAAGACAGATCAGAGGAAAAGGTAACACTAAGATAATTGACCTTCGATACTGTGTTTGTCAAAGAGTCTCCAATGACACAAGCATTATGGGATCTCAAAATGGTGTTTTAATTCCGTTCATGTCTCATGCTAAGGTTAACAGCTTGACATTTAGACGGATTAATTATAAGACCATAACCAACAGACCAACAATCAATACGAGACAAAAACTCATTTCTATGGGATGTAAAGAGGAAGAGATATGCATACATACAGTGAGATCATCCGCATATTTCAAAAAAGTGTTTTCTGTGGAAGATGACAGATCATGCAGAAAAAAAGAGTAAAGAAGTGATGAAAGAACAGCTCCTTGTGGTACACCTTCATGAGACAGCAGAGACTCTGAACACTTTCCTCCAAACACAGTGTACTGTCCCCTTCCAGAAAGGTAGGAACATAGCCAGTTGGTTATCCAGCTGTCAGTGTTGACGCTGATTATCTTGTTAATTAAACGTTGTCTTGGTATAGAATCAAAAGCTGAAGTATAGTCCAGAAAAGCACATCGAACTTACTTCTTACTTTTTTCTAAGTTGAACACTATGTTGTGATGCAGAACAGAAACAGCATATAAGGTGCTTCTTTTGCATCTGTAAGCAAACTAATGCGGATAAATATGCTCTTTTATCACAGGGTGAAGTAGAAGTGTTAGTGATTTTTACATTGTTTTGCGGAAGGGTGAAGTTATTGCAATAGGTCTAAATTTCACATTCTTATCATCAGATACTTTCTTGGGTACAGGTATCATCTTCATCTTTCTCCACATTTTTGTTATGAGATTAGATGAGAAGGATCTGTTAAGGATAGTCGTGAATGGATAAAATAGGACGTCAGCACATTTTAAAAAAAGGAGGTTTTGGATACCATCAGTTCCCAAACATCGAGATGAATTAAGCGACTGGAGACATCTTCGTACGTCAGTCTCAGTGAAAGTATGAACACAGCTATTCTTTAAACCTGTGGATAAAGGGATTATCATATCAGATGACTGACGTACAAAAGACTTATTTAAGTCACAAACGTTCAGCTGGTTATCGCTCCTAAACTGTCTGTCACCTGTAAGTTCTTTAAAGTTTCCACATACTTGGAGAGTTTTTGCAAGACAAGAGTTTTTGAGTGAACATACAGTTGAGACGTCTAATCTCTAGGTTTATCAGACCATTTAGCTTATGAACTTCATTAGAGTTCTTCTCCTTGTACATTCTTTTTCTCACTCTCCGTAGTCATTTTAGTTGTGAAGATGTAAGTCGATCAAAACTTAAAAAAATGGTTTCAGTGGGATAACAAATATCAAAACAGTATTTAAGGTAACAAGTGATAACATCAGTAGTGATTTCCAGTGAGTCATCTGAAGATAATTCACAGTTAGTCGTATGAAACATGTTTTACAGATTTTGGATATTTTTTTCCGAGTAATTCCTATATTTGACTTTCTTGGTTTGATGTAAGAGTGTACTCTTCACATGCTTTTCATATACTTTAGGTAGAACAGGAATTATACAGTGATCCGAGCTAGACAATGGAGCACGTTTACGAGTCGCATATATACCCACATCATTAATGAAAACGAAGTCTAAATGAGCATCCAAACGGGTAGGAAAATCTATCAATTGGTGTCACCATCTTGAAACACCGACTTCGGTGGCTTGGACATGTTCTACGAATGTCGTCCCAGAGAATTCCACGTCGTGCATTATTTGCCGACTCTGGGACTGGTTGGAAAAAGCGGAGAGGTGGTCAATGCATGATATGGTGTCGTGGTATGAAAGAAAGCTGCAAAGGACTGGCTTGTGTTAGTCCTTCACGACTCCCTGGTTGGCGTCTGAGAGATGGTGCTACACAGTGGCTAGAGACGTTATCAGATATGGCTCAGAATAGAAGCCATTGACGATCCTGCTGTAACCTTCTTTTACTTTCTTCATAAAAAGTGGTTGTGTCTCCCTTACTTGAAAGATTTCTTCTGATTGTACTTTTCCGTTCCATCGTTACGACCACACTACCTTACACCAATCTCTTCGTTATCGTTCTCTTTTGTGCTCCTTGGTTTTTGTTTCTTTTTTCTATCTCTTCGAAGTTTCATTGTTTTGTGTGGCGCATATATATTGGCGCTCTCTTGTACCAATATTTATGTGTTAAAATAAATAAATAAATAATACTGTGAAAAGGCAACATCGCTTCAGGATCTGGTTGTTCGACTCCGACCTCGGGCCTAAAGTTACTGCTTTTAGTTTTATCGTTCTTTAACCGACCTCCTGGCATGGTAAGACCTAAAGCGACACATGTCCCAGCCAATATAACAGAGCTGAGTCATCATGATTGGCAAGCATGACCACCACCTCAAAGTAGCAGCTACTGCCCGGCGGAACCTACATGTATTTCCTGTACACAAACCGTAATTTTACAATTTATTGATAAATCATCAAGCTAAGTTGCTGTATGATTGCTTTACTAGGACTGAAGTCAAGTCTCTGAGTGATCAATGAAATTAAAACCGTGACATAAAAGTAGTAGATTATGATTGTTTCAACAACTCTTTTTTGTTCGAAGTTGAAATGATCAGTTTTAATACAGGAAATAACTATTAAGTGACGTAAAGAACAGATCTACTCCCAAATAGATTCAAAATAAATTATGAATAACTAAAATTATATACGATACTATTAGAAAAACTAAAATCAATATGAGAAACTCGCAGTTGCAACTAAATCCATACTACATTTACGTAAATGCCTTGAAATTCCACTCACTTTAACGGATAGCTCACATATCAGAAACCCAAGTCGTTCCTCAAGCAGCTTGAGATCTACATCACCATTGTTGACTCGAGGCCATCCAAAAAAGATATCTAATAAACGAGGTAGGAAAATTACCACCATTTATGAAAAGTAAGAGCAGTTTATGAGAAACAGCAACATAACAATTAACACATACTATGTAGATAAACGTGAGGCTTAAAATTTGCTTTCGTTCGTTTCTGATTTAATTTCCCACTACTTGTGATATTTTTGCCTATATTGATATTTCGACTGTTTTCCCTTGATGGGGTGATATGAAGTGTTGCAAACGAATATACTGTTTGAAGTAAAAGCTATACAATATATTGCTTTACCAAAGCTATATTTCCTTACTCTTTACCCGAATCCGTTGGCCGTTCACATTATTAACCAGTTGTAAACTCAGTTCGCTTATCAAGTATTAATAAAATGAAAAGAACACATGTACCAAAGTGATTCAAACGTGACAAAAAACATTGTAGTTTAGAAAACAAACACCCGCTAAATGGACTGTATTTAGGTGTTTTCCAGAGACATTTGTTCATATATATTGTCAAGCAGTTTACTGGTCATCAACACAATTTAGAGAATACAAATACGGTTATGTTCACCTATTGTGAAAGTTATGAATGTGGTTAAAAACAAGCGATCAAACAACTTTTGGTTAATCTTTCCCAATAAACGAGATGACAGTCGACACAAGATCAAAAATCTTCAGTCCATACAAGGTAACCACTATAAATGTTATATATACAAGTGTGCATTTATGCAGTGAACGAGAAAGGGCGGAGATAAAAAAATGTATTTGAATACAAAATCCCTTAGTAAAATCTGAAAATCATACAGTAAATACTTCATCTGCAAAATGTTTAGCAATTGTTTTAGGCTTCATTGTTCGTTTATTTCCATATCAATCACACTCTGTTCTCGTTCGCTTCTCTTCAATCTTCTTAACCTTCTGCCTCCAGACATTACTACTTATATCTGTCGACATCAGTAGCACACACCACACTTACACTACTGTACACTTCCTAAAGCTCAGCATTCCAAAGCTTTAAGCAGATAGTACATACGTGAGGATGTTTGATCTCTAAATTAAGAACTGATATGAGTTTAGCTCCCAAATGCTCTGGTACAGCCGAGGGTGAAGAAATTCAGCTCGCCCTCTGGAAGTGCTCTCACATGTCTACGCTTATAAAGCCACTGTTAGAGAAGTCAGTCAGTCAGTCAGTCAGTTACAACGTAGAACCAGGCACATATGTGCATCGGTCCAGGTTGCCATACCGCATCAGCACAACAAGATGAACACCGGATTCATAACAGTGGTTAGGTAAAAGGTGGTAATATATAAGAGAAAGATTGCATATAGAGATATAGTACAAGAAGAAAGAATTGGTTAGTAGAAAGAAAGATATGAAGCGCTTTTAATCTCTTAGTTTAAGGGAAGAAACCGAGTGTATACACCGACGCCATTGTGATCGATTCTGAGCCATGTCACCAAGAGTCTCCAACCATTGGTTACGATAGTCACGCGGACCCCAACCAAGTAGTCTGCATCTACCAACATGGCTCAGACTAGAAGTTAGTGACTTCAAGCACTGATGCCACGTTTTGGTTTGGCCGCCCCTAACTTTCTTCCAACCATCCCCAACATCGGATAGCATTGCACGTCGTGGTAATCGGTGTTCAGGCATACGTAACACGTGGCCCAACCATCTCAGTCGATGAAGATTCATAACCTCATCAACTGATTTACCATCCTTTCCTAATACCCTGCGTCTAACCTCACTATTACTTACCCGATTATCCCAACAGACGCCAGCAATATTTCTAAGGCATCTGTGGTCAAATACTAGCAGCTTGCGAGTGTCTTCTACTCTTAATGGCCATGTTTCGCTACCGTAAATTAAAGCAGAACGGACTGCCGCGCAGTATACTCGTCCTTTTATTGATAGACGGATATCTCGCCTTCGCCACAGGTGACGTAAGTTGGCAAAAGCCAAACGAGCTTTTCGAATCCGTGCTGAGATTTCGTCCGATACCAACCCATTAGGGCTGATCAGACTTCCAAGATAAGTGAAGTTGTCAACGCGTTCGACTACTTCACTCCCTATCCTTAGTTCAGGTGTTAACGCAGACCAGTCCTGAAGCAACAACTTGCATTTCGAGGGAGAGAAGCGCATTCCAAACATTCTGGCATTGTTGCTCAGTGCTACCAAAAGACTCTGCATTTTGTCAGCGTCTTCACCAAACAGGACTATGTCATCTGCGTATTCTAAGTCGATAAGTGGACCTCCTGGAAGGAGATCAATACCCGAGAACTCAGTCGACGAGAAAGTTATTTCCATCAGTAGGTCTATGATGAAGTTAAACAAAAATGGGGAAAGTGGACATCCTTGACGGACACCACTTGAGGTTGCAAAAGTAGATGACAGTTCGCCATAAGCTCTCACTCGACTAGTAGTGTTCGAGTAAAGAGCCTTCACAAGGTTTATGTACTTCTGAGGTACGCCTTTCAATGACAGACACTGCCACAGAACCTCGCGGTCTACCGAGTCAAATGCTGCTTTTAAGTCAAGAAAGACCACCATCGTCGGACGCCGATAAGTGTGCCTGTGTTCTAGAACCTGACGAATGGTGAATATGTGGTCGATGCAGCCACGACCAGGTCTGAAACCAGCTTGGTTTTCTCGTGTTTGCAGTTCACGAGTCTTAGTTAGGCGTCTGATAATTATCGAGGCTAGTATTTTAGATATTATATTAGTTAAACTAATCCCTCTGTGGTTGTCACAAGATGATTTTGATTCTTTCTTATATATTGGGACGATAAGTGATTGTGACCAGTCAGATGGAATAACGTCTAACTCCCAGATCTTAGCTAAAATATTAGTCATCCTAATCGCTAAAATTGGACCACCATCTTTAAAGACTTCTGGAACCAGTCCATCTGGTCCAGCTGCCCTTCCTCGTTTCAGATTATCTATAGCCTTTTGAACTTCAGCAAGAGTTGGGGGACCTACTTCAATGTTCCATTCACGCTGTCTGGGAATGGAGGGTAGTTGTAGAGTCGCTGAAGGCCAGCTGAACTGTTCCCTAAAGTGTTCCGCCCATCGTTCTAAACGTCTGGACTGGGAATAGATGAGAGTATCGTCTTTTTCCGATATAATCTCACTTACACTTGACTTATTAATTCCAGTTTCTTTTATTAGTCTGTAAAGTTGTCTTGTGTTCCCTATAGTCGCCGCCTTTTCCATCTCTTTTGCTTTCGTTGCCCACCACTGCTCACGGTCGTTTCTTAAACTTTTTCTTAACCTAGATCTGATTTGTTGTCGCTCTTCATCATGTTCGGAACCTGATGGGACAAATTTGCGAGAATCCATCAGTGTGATAGACTTTGAAGAAATCCACTGGTTCTTTGAAACTCTGTGGTTTAAGTTGCTAATATATGACACTGCTGCTTCCACAGCTGCTTGTATGTCTTTCCAAGCAACATCTGGGTCAGCCTCGTGTTCAGAACTACTTAAGTGTGAACTCAGTTGTTCTTGGAACCTATTTTTGGTTTTCTCGTTGCTCAATTCAGTTCTAATTGGTCTTTTTAATGTGGCTTTTTTGCGTCCGGTGAGGCGCAAGCAGATGCGTGCCCGTATTAGGGCATGATCGGAGTCCAAGCAGGTACTCCAGAATGAGCGACAATCTTCTACCGACCCTCTCCAACGATGACTGATGGCAATATGGTCTATTTGAGTCCATCGTTGGTTTGGTGTAGGGGGTCGCCATGTTAGACGATGCCTCTCCTTATGCTTAAAATTTGTGTTTGCTAAAAATAAGCGATTGTCTGAGCACAGTTGCAGCAGACGATCACCATTATCTGTTCGCTGTGCCGGAATGCTAAAATATCCACCTAAATGCCTTTCTGTTTGGTTTAAGCTACCTATCTGCGCATTAAAGTCACCCCCTACGAGTACTATGTCTGAGCGTTTAGCTTTCTGAAGAAGTTCAGAAAGCTTCCTGTAAAATTCATCCTTCACTTCATCGGAGCTGCAGTCAGTGGGAGCGTAGGCAGAAACGACAAAAAGGCAACGACGTGTGTCCCTATCCTTCCGAGTTCTTACGGAGCCGTTTAGCCGAACAGCACATAGACGACTGTTGATGGGGATCCACTCTAGCAGTGCTTGTTCCGCCCTCATGCTTAGTGCTATGCCTACACCTGCCAGTCCACGAGAACTGGCCATCGGGTCACCAGATACACGTAGGGTGTATCTCGTTGGCTCTCCGTTTTGCCGAGGTGAGGTCAAGTGAATGACCACACTGGAATCCTGTATGCGTGTTTCGGAGACACAGCATACATCGATGGAAAGAGACTCTAGGGTTTTAGCCAAGGAAGCCTGCTGACCGATTTGACATAAAGTGCGTACGTTGAAAGCTCCAATGTGTAGTTTGGAGCGAGGTTTCAGTAGACCTGGGACAGAGTTTTGAGCACTAGAATCGTTGGCTATGGTGACACTTGAGGAAGAAGCCGAAGGAGGAAGTTTAGGGTTGAAAGTCGATGTAGGAGGAATAATAGGAATTGAAGAGGAAGGTTGATTATGAATACAGTGGTCTTGGGTGCTGTTAGAGGTATGAGGGCGGTTATCACTTCCCGGTTGCCCACACCGTGGAAGGGTTCTTCTGGAGGTACCTGAAAAGGAAATTGGATTAGAGGTGGTCTCGGCGACCTGAGAGCGTGACCGCAGTGCCCAAGGGACAACTGCTTGAGGCCGGTCGCGCACGGCCTTTCCGTGGAAGGTTTTTGACATGTTAGCTCCGTTCTTCAAAGGGCCTTACCGCCGGAGACGGAAATCCGTGAGGTAAGGTGAGGTGTGCATTTTTAGGGTCGACCTTTTCTAACCCCACCCCTCCTTGTGGGAAGGCAGCATCGCTGTCATGCTGGTTGTCTGAAGGAAACACCTTACTGCTGTCACACCTCTGTACAGTCAGCAGTACGACTTCGCCTTCGGACCTTAGGTTTGTTGCTTTTAGTCTTACCGCTCTTCAACCGACCTGTCTGACATGGTAGGACCTTGAGGAACGGTTGTTCCAGCCAGTATAGCTCGGTTGCTTCATCACGATAGGCAAGCCCGACCACCACGTCAAGGTAGCAACAACGGTCGGGAGTTAGAGAAGTCCTACTCACTGCCTTTCTTGTAGCGAGTATCGTTTACAAAATCGAGAACGAAAAACGATAATAGATAATAGAGATCGAGACTTAGCTAGACTATAATTTATGGACGACCTTTGAGCGATGTTGAACTGACCATAAGAAATCCAAACCACTCACTAGAGTTAAAGATTGATGTGAAGAGCCAGAGCTTAAGGTTTGCGAATTAGAATTAAGGTTTTTATCACAAACTGACTAACTAAAATCCCAAAACGTCATTTAGTTATATGGACGAATGAGTTTAACACTAAAATACAAGGGTCACGATCTCACACCTGAGTGGTTCACCTAAAAGTTATAGTTCTGCCATATAAATGTTCACAGAGAAGGAACTTTAGTACAAAGACGCAAACTAACCTAGCATAGAGTAGACGGAGATGCATAAATCAACCAATGATCGAGATGGAGAAATTCGGATTTTCAATGAAATTCATAGAAGTTACCACCACTACAGACAAAGCTTTATATAAATCCTTAAAAGAAAAGATAAGCGAAAAAATCGTTACTCTATTAAAATGTTTGTAAATATTTCGAGTTCCTTTCAGAAGCCAAGGAGAGATTTTCCATGCATGTACTTCACCTACAACAATGATTTACAGAAATAGACTTGCCCGTGAAAGTTGTGCAAGGCACAACGAACTGTGCGTCTGTATGGATTTCCTGTCGTTGACTCTTATTTACGACATTTAAATCTCGAAAACATATTCTGGCAGCCGCCTCACATTTTTCGACTTTGTTATCATAGAAGAGGTCCGATATATTTAAATCCTGTAATCATTCAAAAGGCCTTAGAGTGAAGAACTTACTTCGTAAGCTGCTAGAGACAAGAATGATTTAGGAAGCTGTACAGGGAAAGTCTCCCAAGTGAACAAACATTTATCAACAACCTGACATGGATTATTCATAAGAAACATACCTCTTTCAAAGATTTGATGACTTCCGTGTACTCTCCGTAACAAATTTTGTTATTTTCTCTGATGCCAGAGACAAAAGCCACTCTCTATTTATACGTAGTTTAATAATAACTCAAGTACGTGAATTTACCCCAGGTTCTTCAACATTACAATCACAAGACAAGAGAGAAGACAAATTCCCTTCGAAATTAACGTTGACCTTTTTGGTCATTAAAGGGGCAAACTAGGTATCTAATGTGACCCTAAACACATAACGCCGGTAAGGATTCAAGCCAGTTGCAAGGTCAAAACGCGTGCTCAGTGGTTCCAATATCTGTTGTCATCATTACAAGTTAATTTCGAGTACGTGATTCGTTTACGCCTTGGTTTTGTCGTTCAGCCCAGGGACGAGGATTTTAATTGCATTGAAAGCATTCATTTTTTATTGTTCTTTAGATTTTTACATCATTCGTAAACAATAATGACGACGACCTAAGCAACAGCTGCAGCTCGTTAACGTAGAGAAGGAAGAGCAGAGGGCCCAAGATGGTGCCTTGAGGTACACCACTTTTGACCGGCTTCCAATCAGATAGCGTTCCGTTGACCCTCACTCTCTGTCTGCGGTCACATAAGAAATTTCCTATCCACTCATGTACAGTACCTATTAGTTTCAGTTTCAGTTTCAGTTTGGGAAGGACATGAGGCTCGACGGCCTATGTTAGTCCTGGCAATGGTGGTCTCTCAGTTGATCCAACTTTCTTTTGAAAGAGTCGACGGATAGAGCCTCAACCACGTGCTGAGGTAGTGAATTCCACTCGTTGATTATTCGATGGGAAAGTCGATAGTCAGCTGACAAGTAATTTGTTCTCGGCTTGTGGACTTTTATGGAGTGTCCTCGTAAATTCTCTGTTTTGGAAGACAAGAAAAATGAGGGCATGTTAGGTGCAAATTTATCACTAAGCAATTTGTAGACTGTAATCAAGTCACCTCTAGTTCTGCGATAAGATAACGGGAAAAGGTTCAGCTTGGCCAGTCGAGATTCATACGGAAGCTTTGCTATTCCGGGAACCAGCTTAGTCGCCGTTCTCTGAACCTTTTCCAGAAGCTCACTGTCTTTTTTTAAGCAGGGGCTAGCCGCTTGTATGCAGTACTCAAGTTTAGGACGAACGAACACTGTATACAAAGTCAAAAACGTCTTAGCGTCGACATGACTAAAAGCCCTACGTATTGACCATAACGATCTAAAACTTTTGGCGACTATTGCACGGCAGTGTGCAGTAGTCTTTAAGTTTTGACTAACGATAACGCCTAAGTCATTATATGTCTGGACGACAGGTAGCTCAGTGTTATCCATCATGTATGTATTTGTGCCTTGATGACCGATATGCATCACAACACACTTGGAAGTATTTACCGGCAACTGCCATGTTTGAGACCATTCAGATAACTTCTTCAGGTCATTTTGAAGTTCTAAGCTATCACTCTTACATCGTATCGCTTTCCATATCTTGACATCGTCAGCATATAGCAAGACCGATGATGATAGGAGACAAGGAAGGTCATTTACATACAAGAGGAATAGCACTGGCCCCAAAACTGTACCCTGGGGCACTCCACTAAGCACAGTTTCCCAGCTAGATAACTTTGAGTTCACCCGAACTCTTTGTGGACGCCCAACTAAGAAGTCTTTTATCCACATCAATAAATTGCCTCCAATCCCGACTTTTCTTAACTTATATAACAGCCGGTTGTGCGGAACTTTATCAAAAGCTTTACTGAAATCAATGAAGGCGACGTCTACAGGTAGCTTTTGGTCCTTAAGAGCGCACCAGCTTTCACGAGCCACTAATAAGTTAGTGAGACAAGAATAACCTATTCTGAAGCCGTGCTGCTTCTCCGAGAGGATCCGGTTTTTATCGAGATACTTAAACAGCTCTTCCCTAATAATCTTTTCTAATATTTTAACAACCACACTAGTTAGGCTAACGGGGCGGTAGTTTTCAGGTTTGTGTTTCGTACCTGTTTTGAAGAAAGGACTTACTATGGCGTTTTTCCAGTCTTTCGGTAAGCGACCCTGCGTAACGGATAGGTTAAAGCGTGTACTTAAAGGGCTTGCAACGAAGTTAGATAATTCCTTTAGTAGCCTAGGATGTAATTCATCGGGCCCCGTGGATTTACCTATATCAAGCTTATTTAACAGACCAAAGACATCGAGTTCTTTAATGGTCACGCTATCCAGTTTATGTGTGGGGGGATCTGTATACGCTGACGAGAAGGGCGCTTCTATGGTATACACGTTGCTAAAGTAGTTCGAGAACGCTTGAGCCTTACCAAAGTCGTCCTCCACTAATGATGAAGCAGTACTGTCTCCCCATAGAGCAGGAATATTTCCTTTTCTCCTTGTCCTTTGGTTTATATAGGAATACAAGCGTTTAGGACATTCTATGGATTCCTTTACAAGTTTTTCTTCGTACAATTTTCTAGACTTACGGAGGGTCGAGGCACAAGTGTTCCGAGCCTTTCGATACTGAGATTTTGCCTCATCAGTCCCCAGTAACCTAAATCTATCCCACATCTTCCTTTTCTTACGGAGAAGAATACGGACCTCCCTACTGAACCATGGTGGAGAGTTTTTCGGTCCCTTTGGTATAGTCCAAGGGATGTGAGGTGTGGTAACTTTTAAGTATGAATTTCGAAATGCGTCCCAGGCCGTTTCAATGGAGGACTCTGGGTCTATTGTCCAATCTATTAACGATGCTGAGTCCATGATGGCTGGTATGTTTGCCTTCCAGACGTTGGGTCTGGACTGGACTGATGCGTCCTCATGACTGGCAGTTATATGGAAGTCGAAAGTTAAAACTGCGTGGTCACTTTTACCTAAGGGTGGCATATGTTGGAGGTTCGCAACATCATCCTCATAGTGAGTCAGTATAAGATCTAATAAGGATGATTCAGTGTCCGGATCGTACCTTGTCGCTTCTTTCACATGTTGTACTAGAGCACATGTGATAATCCCATCAACTAGTTCCTGCTCGAAAGAATTCTCCGACGATTTAATTCGCAGATTTTCCCAGTCTACCATAGGTGCGTTAAAGTCCCCTAGGATTAGACATCGAACACTTTGGAACCAAGTATTGAGACTGCTTAACAGGATCTCATTTGCCTCACAGCTTGGACTGCGATAGACCAAACCAATCAGCAGCTCTTGTCCCTTGCATTTTAGGCGAAGACTAACTAATTCACACGTCCCACTCTCATGAGATACACTGTCGACAATGGTAAATGGGATAGCATTCCTAATGAATAGAGCTACTCCCCCTCCTTTGCGCTTTTGTGTTCTGTCGGCCCTTACTAACGTAAAGCCCTCGAAATCAAGTTCTATACTATCTATAGCCTGTGTCAGCCAGGTTTCTGTTACTGCGATTATGTCTGGCTTTGTAGAGCCAATCTGTACACCTAGTTCCGATCGCTTATTAAGTAAGCTTCGTGCATTGGTGTAACAGATCCGAAGCCTGTTTAAGTGGCTTCGTGTTTCACCCAGAGTGGCTTCGGCATCATTCTCTGTCGAAGTCTTACAACCCGAAAATTTACAATTTTCAGGTCTTTTTCGCCAGCGTCTAACCTATGTTGTAGTTCTTTCTCGGCTTCCCGTCTTTTAACACGGTCTGCCAACGGTAGGTCCTTTCGAATAAAGACTCCTGAACCCTTTAATTTGTGCCCATTTTGTAAAATTTGGTCACGTTCGTTCGAAGAGCCGAATACTACTTTAAGCAGTCTGGAATGATTTGGTTTCGAGTCCGTTAGACTCCCTAGTCTGTACACCTTTAGCAAGGTGACCCCGGTCATATTTTGAGGCATGAGTTGATTAAGCAGCTGCCTAATCAGTACAATGTCATGCTCAAAACGAGCTTTAGGTTCAGAGCTATCGCTCTCCTTGATTCTATGAAAAATAGCTGATCTGTCGCTATGATCAGCTTTCGCTTTTTCAACCACTTTTACGGGAGCAGGTTTCCCATTTATATCCCTACTTCTCTTCCTCGTAACCTTTACCCATTCCTCAACGGTGCTGGTAGAAGCAATAACAGTTGCGTCAAACTCAGTGTTGGGTTTTGGGGGGTTGCCGACGACCTGATGGGTCGTGTTATGTTTACCGTTTGAAACCGATCGAGCCTTGCGATTGCGGCTTCTAGGTGTTTCCTGTTGGATCCCATCTGGGAGACGGGGAACAGAAGATCCTACTTTTCTTGAGCTTTTGTCTAAGGCAGGCCTCTTTGGAGACTGCTTTTTCTTCTTTGACAGGCTTGAGTCATCTACCACCGGACTAACCTTAGTTTCCTTCACGTTGATTTGCGTGTCGACAGATCGAGTGCTGCTTGACGCGTTCCGACTATGCTTGCTAAAGCACTTCTTTGCAGCATCAACCAGTGAGATGGCCTCGGTTAGCAAGCTGTTTGCATCCGAGCAGCACTGTTGACAAAGCAACACACAACCCTTTTTACTGTACCGTTTGAAAGCAGCAGGCGTTAAGTTCGTGCAGACTTCGTGGTACCAGCCTTTGCACTCGTCGCACTGCATCCCGCTTTCAACAGGATAGCGACAACCCGGAGGTTGACAACTACTTTTTTTACACTGTCCGGTCATTTAAGAGGGGTTCTTTTTTTAAACTGTGAGGATACTCAGAAAAAAACAAAAACAATTATCAATGACCAAAAGTGAAGAGCTGTAGATTGCTAGGACCAAAAGTACTAACAGATACAGTAGAATAAGAGGTACTCAAGAGTACCAACGACAAAACAGTAAAAACGATACTTTAGTCAAATTCTTTAACTGAAATAAATTCAATTAAAGTGAAAACAGTAGTCTTGATACGTAATAAACGATCAAAACAAACAAATTTACTCAGCGAGGAAAAATAACACTGTCCTTTTTAAATAGCGCGGCTGGTTCCGAAGCTCGTGAACTTCTGCATAAGACCTACGTGTGAAACCTTGTCAAACGCTTTGCTAAAATCTATGAATATCACGTCGACAGACAGACCGTTATCTAGGGCTGCTGTCCAATCCTCCCTCGCAATAAGCAAGTTAGTCAAGTATGAACGCTTGTTACGAAATCCGTGTTGCTCAGGAGCTAACAGATTGTGTGGCTTAGCAACCTAACCCGAATTAACTTTTCAAGTAACGTAACGACTATGCTAGTTAGACTGACAGGCCAGTAGTTAGATACTATCTGTCG